GTCGATTCCCGTGAACTCGCCGAAGGGGTGTGATTTTAAATTACCCTCTCCGCTCGCCCCGCGTTTCGACAATTACCCGGGGATACCGAACTGCTATTGTCATGCACAATAAAACTGCGTGGGAGAAATCCGACTACTGGGACAACGGCGGCGTGTGCATGCAGTCCTTTTAAAAACCTAATAGAATAAATACACCAAAGCGGCGTGTCGTGTGTACACTTTAAGAAGGGGTATTTGCATTTTCGATTAGCGCCCGGTCGCGGTTAAAGTTCGATTAACTTATATCCCCTCCCCCGTACGTTTGGATAATTTGTCAAAGCTTTTACTCGGTGGCTCCGACCGACGATGGTTGCGCGCCGCTCGAGGCTACGAAACCAATTAACCGGATAGTACTCATTTCGGATAAAAAGCAATTAAGACCGAGAATCGGGTAGGGTTTGCCTAATCAAACGTTAGCGGTGCGGAGGGTGAGTTGCCTGTTGTTTTACAGCAGCTGACGAACAGGCATTTTAATCGATAACCGAATTGCGGCGTTTATACGCAAGTTTGCCTGCAACTCGACTTGAATTTTGCCAGCCGTGTACAGGTTATGTCGTTCGAGTTATAATTACCTATTATTATACTGCGGTGCCGGTATTTTTTATGCGCTAACCTTCACCAAAGCAGCCGTTGTCGTCGTATACGTTTCATATTATATGACTGTTGGTATATTTATTGCCGTCGATATATATAATATAATTATCGCCGTACGTCCAACGCTATATATTATCTCAACATAAAATTCTACAACGATAATAATTTTGTTTTTTGCTTACCGACGGTTATGTTGTTTTTGTTTTTTTGCTTACAATACAATTTCCATAATTATTATCGTAGCTATGTGTTATCATTGAAAAAAAAAAACACGTTGATTTCATAAGTCATACACGTCAATTATATTCACTCGTTAAATCTAATCGTCTTCTTTTCGTAAGCGCGTTCGTTGCTCAAGTGCAATATATTTTAAAACTTTGAGGCTCGTTAACACCGAGTGGTTGTATCACCTCGGGGCGGCCATCGTGGAGAGGACACGCGGATATTAAACGGAATTTGGAAACATAAATGCCCGAGCAAGTACGCCTCTCCTCATGACCCCTTAATTTGCATGAATATTACGGTCGTCATAACGTTAATAGTCGCCCTCGTAGGAGTGTTGGGTGTCGGGTCACGATCCTATTTGCGCCCGGAGGATTGACAATAATGTTTTATGATATTACACGGTGCGTCCAGAGTAGAATATTTTTTAATCATACTCTTTTCGCTCTGTCACGGCTCTCGGTGGTACTGCAACGAGCTGCACTGTATAATTATTACACACACACGTTATTACTCGTATAACAGCCACGACATGAAATGCGGTCGAAGATGATGTACGTTAAGACTCTTTTCAATCGTGTACCGTGTGATTTCGCGTAGGTAGTTGTGGATATTTGCATACTCGGTGCCGTTCAAATGACGCGGCGTACTAAATATGTCTGAAATAAATCGAAATAGACAAATTGTTCTTGCCGCGTTTTATCGGTAAGCTCGTCGGGTCGATTTCATATTTCATCGTTTGATATCCAAACTCGAGACAACAGCTCGTTTGTGTAACGCTACGAGTGGCTGGTATTGTTTTGCCACTAATATTTTTGTACTGGCCGTGTCTCCGAGTATACGAATTATGGTCACATAATAATAATAATATTATAACAGATGTGGTCCAATTTCGGATCGGAAAAACAACCACACGATCGTTTTATACACAAGTATTACGTGTACACTAACAATATGTAATTTTTGTCCGTGAGAAAACGAGGCGTTTGTTGAGCTCCGCTGTGACCGGTTTTCGTGGAGTACACAAGTCCATCGTCGTCGACACTAGACAATCTTGTGGTCGAGATGCGCTTGCCATATATATGATAGCCTAATAACACACGCTGCTGTTGTAGCTCTTCTCTCGTATACACACACATATTTATTATTATTATCATTATTTAAATTCGTCGTGGTCGTAAACGCAAATCCGATGTACATATTCCATTAAAAATATGCCGAATCGCCCACATTCTTCGTGTTCGCCATCTAATAACAAAGCTCCCGAGCTCGTGAATATTGGACGTGTTTCGTATGAATAAACGGATTGCAGTGGTGGTTACTCGGAGTGTAATTTCGAATATTATTTTTCAAATAATAACATCGTGTAGTAATATTCCAAATGGCGTCAATCCAAATTGAATGTGCACTTACACGGAGATGTTCTTTAACCGCAAAAAAGTATGTTCTCGGATACACTTAACATGCTTTCGGAAAGTGAGGAATCAATACCGTCGTCGTCGTTGGATTGTACGACTGAGTGAGATGATTGTGCGGACGAGTTTTTTTTAGCTTTGTTCCACGCAAAACGGCGTGTTTTTCTTAATCGCCTTGAAATTATTTATCGAATTAATCGCAAATGATATTTGTATGGCCACAGGTTATAATGGAAATGTGTGTTGTAAAACTATTAGTCGTGTGTGTATACCTTTTGTACGTATGGAATGTATTTATTATGAATCCTACCTGTTGTCCCTCGAGCAGCATATGGAAGCCCATAAAAATTTGTTGCTCTCGATATTTTATTCTTGCGAGAGTTATGACGTTTTTTTTTTAATACATAAAATATTACGTTCTAGAGTGTTTTTACATTATTGTATTTAGTTTTCTTTTTGTGTTTCTGTACCGACAGATGTTAGGCCCTCCGGATGGGACGATGGGAAAACGACGATGATCGGTCGCGTTATCTTTTACGAACACGGTGTATTACTTGTCATAAATTGAATAAAAAAATCATAACTACAATAAATGAACCTCGGGATCGAAATGCAGGATAATAATCCGTCGTTGTTTGCCATCGTCCTACACGGCCACTGACAATAAGATCAATTTTTAAATTCCCGTTGGTTTTTTTTATAAACACTCGTCGTGTAGCAGCTTAAATAAATAATCTTTTATTTATTTGTAAGCGATCGTTTATTATTCAACCGCGTCAGGTCGAGTGCGTGTGGTAGTACATTATACGAGCCAACGACTGGTTGGTAAAATGCAATGACACACGTGCGACGCGGCTAGCGGTGGGAAATGGGAGGAGCTCCGTTGACACACCGGGTGACAACGGCTGCACCAATGACAGTGGGCCGACGCGGTCGGGTGACACGGTTTGACGCGGTGCCGGCGCAAGGGGGAGGCGGCAGGACAATAGCAGCAGTGCCCCCGGCACCATGGTTTTCGTCCCTTGCGTTTAATTGTGTATTCTCGTGGATACGGGACATTTTTGTAGCGCCTCGTTTGGGTTTCGTTACTATTTGTACGTCATACGCGTTCGGATGTCGGTATTATTACGACGAGGGGAAACGGCAGTTTTGTCTGCATGTTTTTAATATTACGCACTCCGCGTGTATTGTGCTTGTCCCTAAAGTGGAAGATAATACCTCTGGCACCCCTTGCGCCTCGGCCATTACCTTCGACCCCCGCCACCTTAACGCCATTAGTAGCGGCAATGTATTTTCATCATCATCATCATCATATCGTCGAGTCCCTTGATCTGACGCTCACAAGCATGTGAGTATATATGTGCGCCGGTATAGATTATTTTCAACAATGACGGGCGAAATATAATGACTGCTGCCGCTACTCCGGGGCGCACACAATAGCTCCCAATAGCTGCAGTTTTAAAACTTATACAGCCTCATCCCGTACGGTTGACAGGTTTCATAATATCTAAAATAGTGCCTACTTCACGATTCAATTGTTGACAACCACTCACGAGCACGTACATATTATATTTTCTATTATTTATTTTTCTGTATGCGTTCACCGAAGGCCGCCGCCCTACGTCCGCCCAAACTCGGTGACTTAAGATTTTTTCATCTTCAACTGTCGACTACACTAGTGGGACGTGTGAATAGTAGGACAGACACGCTGTACATATTATTATTATTATTATTATCATTATAATACAGTTGCGCGTCCAAAATCAACGACAACTCTGCGTGTGTGTGTGTGTGTGTGTTGTTCTTAATAATATATTTGTATTGTGTACCGGCGTCGCATAGATCTCTGGACTGTAATAATAGTACTCGTGCACTCAGCACCGTTTCTATGCGCATAGTTATTCATACGCGTTACATGACCTTAAATGATGTTATACCGACTCGTTACAACTCTTACGGGCCGCTCACTGGAAATTATTTTCAACTCGACCGCGACAACCTGATCTGTACGATGAGAAATTATACGGTCCAAGTTTGTATTTCTCGCGTACATCCCAACAGAGACCTTTCCATAACATGACTTACTCTACGGCTCGTGTACTAAGCCTGCCATTTTGGAAATATCTCGGTATTGTTGCGCTATTGTATGACAGTAAATCCTCGATGCACTCAAGTCGGAGGAAATCCTCGCAATTCAATATTACAAAGGGAAAAACCACAGGAAGTGCCTGAAGTTCGTGTTGCGAATAATTTTTTTTTATCATTAATAGGCCGTGACGTTTCATTCCAGACGAATTAACCGCGGAGGCCGAACACGATCTAACGGTCGAAAGAATCGAAATGCGCAATATATGATCGGTTGTCAAATAATAAAAATCAAAATCCGTTGTAAAAGAATAGCGCCGATAAAAATGTATTATATTTATATATTATTTTTATCGTTATTATATTTAATAACCGAAGCCCATTGTCGTGACGGTCGTTATTGAATAGGTCAGGTAGAAAATATAATATGATCTAGTCCCTTTTTGATCCCACGAGGGTTCCATTATGTTACTATTGATGCAATAATGATGTAGTGCAGCACCGGTAATGATTGAGAGGGATCATCCTTCTCGTGCTATGCCACCGTCGATTTTATTATGTAATATTACTTAATAATGGCAAATATGCCCAGTGTAATGATAAAAATACATAAGCTTATTGTGTGTTTTATTTTACGTGTTACAGCTCTGGACAAATTGGGATTCGGTGGAGCGTCTTTGGGAAACGGTGCTGTCGAACCCATCCAACCAAATGTTGCGTTCGACATCGCCAGTCTAGTTTTGTACGGTTGCCAAGCGCTGCCCATTAGGCTAAAAATTTTACTGGACCGTCTGTTTAGCGTGCTCCGGCAAGACGAAGTGTCCGCTGTCCTCCGAGGATTTGGCTGGACCCACGAAGACTACGCCAGAGGATACATACTACAGGTAACTTAATTGTTCGATTAGTGATTTTACGACTGTTTTACAAACGGCGCAGTGGTGACATTCTTGGTGTGTTTAATAAGCAAACATAATTTGTAACGTATGATTAACAATTTTGATAATCGTTCCGGTCGCCCGCTTTTTCATATAACATGAAATACGTCATTTTAGTTAACAGCCTAACCCTTTCTACTCTTTCTATATGAACGCCAAAACAAACATCGATGAGTTTTTCACTCTTAACGAATAGCCTGAAAAACCCTATCGTTGTCGTCCCGTGTTTGTTTTTGTGGCGTTGTACATGTGTACAATATATAATAATGTTATACTCGAGTACATTCGCAGGCACACATACGTGACGTATTGCAAAGGGTTCGTGAAAAACAAAACGAAAGGGTTCGGTAATTTTGTAATACACCGCGGTGGTGGCAGCTTGTAAGTTGACTTCTCTGTTGCCGGTAATGGATGATTGAATTACACATACACCCCCGCATACCCATTGACAGTTCCCGGGGAAACGTGTCTCGAATTCGGCAATGTTTTATTTCGTTAAACGTTTGTGCCAGAGCTATATACTTAGCCTCTAGCCATGTTTGAATATAGTATAGAACGGCCTCATGGGATTGACAATTGTCTAATAGCATATCGTGATATTCGTTCTTAGTTTTGCCAAACTATTTCCAGACTTTAGAACTTTTGATGAAAAATACGACGCGTCGTATTTGAATTAATGATTTTTTTTTAAGTTTTAAACTAAAGTACTCCTCAACTCCTTTTGAATATTTTAAGACACATCGTATAATTAATATCGCTTTATTTTTGGTTTTAGGAACCTCACGGAGGCATTCTTGAGCGATGGAACATATGTAGCCCAGAAGAAGAACCGCTCGTGTTGCAGCAGTTTTTGCGGTTTGGTGAAACTAGAATGGTAACACAGCAATTATTATTACATGGATTGAATGCTGATTTTAGAGCACTGCCCAGTCTTGAAACCGATATGAAGAGGTTAATGGAACGTCAAAAGCAACAACAAAACCATGACCACAAACCTAACTTTGAAACTAAATTCCGGCCTAGGTCTCCTTCGTCACTAATGCAACCGCGTTTGCCGTCGACTCTTGGAAATTCACCACCGTCGCCTCCTAAACCCACATTCGGGTTTGCAAAACCATCTAGTGGTAGTAGTAGTAGTTTAGCCTTACCAGCTTCACCGTTGGTTAACACTAACGGTGGTTCTCCACCAACGACTAGTCCTACCAGTGTCTCACCTCTTAACAAATTGCAAAACATGCAACCATTTGATTTCCGCAAAATGCAATCCACCGGCGGATTCCCAGGAAAACCATCTTCGGAGAGAAGAAATTCGGATTTATTACCTCCGCCCCCACGACCAAATCAGAACGAATACAATAATAGCAAGTATACTACTCCAGAAAGCTTAGCCGGAAGCAGCGAGTTTGGATCAGAAGACGGTGACGAAGAGGAAGAAAATTCGCAAAGCGCTTTGAATCTGAGCAAAGACAACAATAGTAAAACGGCCAGGCCACATAGGGGACACATGCGTAAAACCTCTATGCCTCTTAAACGGCAATGGGGTTCCGCTAGCTTACCATTGAACTTGGGAACTCAACTTATCAACCCGGCTACTGGCAAAAAACGCGTACAATGCAACGTGTGCCTGAAAACTTTCTGCGACAAAGGGGCACTGAAAATACACTTTTCGGCTGTGCATTTACGCGAAATGCATAAATGTACCGTCGAAGGCTGCAACATGATGTTCAGTTCGAGAAGATCAAGAAACAGACACAGCGCCAACCCCAATCCAAAACTGCACTCTCCTCATTTGCGCCGCAAAATATCTCCACACGACGGCCGTAGCTCACAAGCTCATCATCCAATGGTCATCTCTCCGCTCCAAGCGTCGGCGATGAATCAGTTGGCCTTTGGCGCTTTCCCTTTACTGACGGGCAGTGGCCCAGATTTGCACGCTGCTGGTTCTAAACAGAGCTCATCTTCGGGCTTACATTTAGCTGACGAACTCCGCAGGTCGGCCGATTTCTCTTCGGACAATATGGATGAATACATGGACGACGAGGAAGACGGCATAGTGGTGGACGGCGCAACTGTAGACGACGACGACGATTCGGAACACAGGAGCGACCGCAGCAAGAGGATGTCGGAGGAGTCTGAGGACGACGGCGCTAGTACTATCGAGCCACCGAACAACAACAATAAGCCGCCGATAGTGCCGACGAACGTACGCAAACGGAAAAATCAAAACCCCACGAGGTTTGCGGCGGCTGCCGATCTCAGCGACGAAGGTATGTCTTGTACGGACGAAGGCTCTGCCCCGTCGCCTAAGAACAACAATAACGAAGAAGAAGTGACGGCCAAACAGAACCAAGGCGAAGACCAGTGTCTGAACCTGAGCAGGAAACGCTCTGCCAGTCCCATAGATGGCAGATTGCATTCCGCCGACTCCAGGGACTCGTTGTTGTCCGAGAACGATGATGGCGAAGACGACGAGTGCAATTCCGATAGCGACGGTCACGTTTATGGCATGTTCGAAAACGGTCGCTTCGTGGAAATGGAAGAGGTTCCCGTCGACAAAGAAAATCCACGCAAATGCGTCGCCTGCGGTAAAACGTTCCCTAATCATTTCAGCGTCAAGACACATTATCAAAACGTGCATCTCAAACTCATGCATAAATGCGTAGTGGACGGATGCAATGCGGCCTTTCCGTCGAAGCGCAGTAGAGATAGACACAGTTCCAACCTAAACTTGCACAGAAAGTTATTGTCCACCTCGCCGACCGCTGCCGACGAACAACTGTCGCACCGTCAACAACAGTCGCAACAACCGCCAGTAAGCGCTGCAGCGGCGGTAGCCGCAGCGGCCGCGGCGGCAGCAGCAGCTTCCGAAAATCCTTACGGTATGCACGCCGAATTCTTGGCCCGGCTGTACGCGGACTCGCAACAGTTCCAAGCTTTCTCCAACGGAGGCATGATACTACCCCAGTTCGGTCCGTTCAGACATCATCCGCCGGCCATGACCAACGGTGGCGGCGTACCCCGCTTGGTGTATTCGGCCGACGAAGACCTTCCGCCCAGCCCGGACAAAGAAACCGGCATGTACTCGTGCCGGTTCTGCAGCAAAGCGTTCCCGGACAAGAACGGCATGCGAGAGCACTACGAACAATTGCACATGCACGAGATGCACCGGTGCAAAGTACAGGGTTGTGGAATGGTGTTCAGCTCGAGGACCAAAAGAAACGCTCACGCCGAAAACCATCCTCCGGTGTCCGCGTCGTGACCACGGCAGTTTCCCGTTCCGCCCCCGTGGTGGTGGTAACCAAACGCAATAAAAAACAATTCATCTTACCACCGCCTTGTTGCCCATAGTCTATCGTGATCGTCACGAGACATATCTACCTCGGCATTCACATACTTAAACGTGTGTGTTGTCCTCCTCACCTGGCCTAGCCGTATAATTGTCTCGGTCTGCATTGCCACCGCCTCCAGCCAATCTCCAAATAGTAATTTACCCGAACCCCCGTCAACGTCGTCGACACTGTAATGCCACTTAGACCCCGTTGCCTAAACGACCTAATCTCCGTTCTCCTCCCTCTTATTCATTATCTCCGTGTACGAGAACGTGTGTTTCATCGTGATGTAATTTATATTAAATGGTTTTTTTTTTTTTTTACACTCGTATATACATTTATATATAAAGAGTAAAACGTGGAAAAAATCTTTAGCCCTAAAAATATAATTGGTGCTTTAATTTTTTTTTTTCTGATAAAACATAGAACGTACAAAATATGTAGGATTTTCGTTTTGAACAAAACATGACGTTGTTTTTTTCTTTTCATTAAACGGCTTAATAATATTATAAAAATATCAGATTGATATAAATATATTTCTGAATCTATTGTATACGACTTGAATGTGATTCATTTTTTTTTTTTTATTTGTTAAATATATATTTATTAACTATTATTATTATCATAAATATTGTGGCTGTACTTATAAATTAAAACTAAAAAAAAAAAAGTGGGATAGTAGCGTGAAATGTAGCCTAGTAATAATAAAAATTATTATTAAATGTACATTTTAAATATTATATAGGTTGTGTTTTTATTATTGTATTGTATAAATCATTTTTAGGAAAATCTCGTGTAAATAAATGCGGTTAGATGTTAATGCATTAGAAATATTTCTAAATACATTTTATTAACTACAGCGCGGCGATTCATAGTGAGTTTTTTAATGCCTACTATACGATATGTACAACGGTTTGTTTGAAATGTATTTGGGCATCATATTGCGGTGTATAGAGAAAATACGCCCGTTTTAATCAAAAAAACAATTCTGATCTAAGATATTTGAAAATATTTACTAGTCCTTATCTTATAGAGTTATTTTGTAGAGAGGCAATTTTATTTGTCATATTATTAAATAAATATTATCATAATTATATTATATTATACGTATATACTGTATGATTTACTGAAAATAAAAATTAATATAAGTGACTATTAGCCTAAATTATTATTTTGTATTTTATTTTTATTATTCCTTCCTTGCGTTCCTATAAGAAATGTGCATAGATCTAAATATTTACTAACTGTAGTTATTTTTGAATAATTAGTTGAAGAAATAAAATCTGAAAAACTATCATTTATTCAAAGGCTTAATAAATAAAATAAAGAATGATTGTACTTGTTACGTTCAACGACAGACTGTATTTTAAATATAAATTCATCACCCTTTGTTAGATTGCGTAAACACAAGCTAATTAATTCACACAAAATATTTAATTAATAATCAAAGAAGTATAATACATTAGTTTTACGTACAAGGCATATTAAATATTATACTTTGCAGTATATATTACAACTTTAGTAGTTGTGACTAAGTAAAAGAGGAGATTCGGAGTAGAAAATTTACATTTATTTCATTTGGAGAAATGAAATTCTGTTGATACTTTCGTGACACTAATTGGAAACGCAGTGAATGTGTTCTTATTCAAAATTCGGACGGTAAAATGTAAAAGGGCAAAATTGCCAAAAACGTGTCGTCAGGTCGTGATAAATATCGATTGCGATATACTACGAGGTCTTCCAATATTATTTATTCGACCGCATTGTGTTTAATGTACAATTATCTTCTGTCGATGCCCAGAGATGCTATTATCTTTTGTAATCCAACTCAACCTTGTGCGTTTTTTATTAAAATAATAATAATAATCAACGATCTAGAAAATTGCTTAATATTTGACATACATCTTTAACGTCCGCTATTAGTATCATTGAAAATATCAAGTAAATTTAGCAACATCACTCGTTAGTTTTTATTGCAATAGAAATATGTTATAGAGAAAAACTAACTTGTTATAACTTTCAACAAAAACTAAGTCGTAGTTTTTTTGGTTTGCAAATATCCATCTTCACAACTATTTTTTTTTTACTACAAACCTGTCCAACTCAACACCAAATATATTTATATATATTCTAACTCAGACTGTTTTATTTTATATTTATTATCGCAAGTGAAATGTCTGAACGTAAAAAAAAACTACTCAGATCTAAAATCTAGTGTCTACTTGACGCAAACTATTTTTAATTAATAACATTTTATTAGATAATTAAAAATAGGTATACATTATANTTTATTTTATATTTATTATCGCAAGTGAAATGTCTGAACGTAAAAAAAAACTACTCAGGTCTAAAATCTAGTGTCTACTTGACGCAAACTATTTTTAATTAATAACATTTTATTAGATAATTAAAAATAGGTATACATTATATACCTATTATTATGCTTATATAATTACAAACAAACCGTTTAACATTGCCACAATATAAAATTACATAATAGAATGTTATTTAATTAAATTAATAATTGGGACTTTGATGTATTTCAACAAAATAATTACTAACACTAACAATAATTGCAATAACGTTCATACTTTCGTGTATTAAGTTTAATGGAGAATAAGAAAACTAAAATTAGTAATTTAATAAATATATGAACCTAATTCAATAGAATGGAAACTATTGTCGTTTTACAGAATTAGTTTTACAGTTTTCGATAGCAAACCATTATAATTATAACAATACATTATTAGTGAAAATTTCACGTATTGTTAACATCAAAATAAAAAATTGTCGATAAATATCGTATCACTTGGACTTAAATTAATTGTCTACACACCCGTAAAGATTTAGTAAGCTTTTTGCATCATTAAATAACCAAATTTTAATAATTTAATTTTAAAGAAACTAGTCAAGTAATATTCAGAAAATTCATTAAGCAAATGCAGAAGTTCTTTATAATTTCTTTGATAGTATTTTCTTTGACGTCTCTTCGCTTTGGTAAAAAATATTTCTTTGCGACTGGCTCATTCACTTTTTAAACACATTTTTCATATCAAACAGTTTTTTCAAAACTTCGTCATTGTTGTTGGGATTTTCGAGTCCATTTATTTCATTGACATATATTTCGAAATTATTTAGTCAAACAATGTTCGTGTTTTATAAATATAAACTTATGTAAATAAAAGTGTAAAGGAGTGCTTTCATATTTCAGGTCGATAGAATTATATGATAAATATTTTGTGCTCATGTAAAATAGTAAATGTATACGATGGAATTTTTACGGGTTGATTTATTTGCTTAAAAGCTAATTGATTTGTACTCGATCAACTAGAGTAGTCTTTAAGCATCCTGCTAAATGCGATAATTGTTTAGATCCTGATAATTCATTATCAAGTTTATCTTGGAATAAGGAAATAAAAAACATATTATATTATATATCAAATAGGAAATACAACCTATTTTACTATTTATGAATAACATGAATACAATAACAACTAAATCAAATGAAGTGTGAACAATGGCGTTCGCAGGGTTTCGTCTTGGGAGGAGGTATACATAAGAATTTTTTTATTACCCTCTACCGAAACACATCTTTACCATATATTTATTTTCATCGTGGGGAGTCAATGGCCACCCCCCTCATGAAAAATGCTCATGAGTGTGAATGTCTCGCAAAAATATCTGAAATGAAAATGCCCTTAGCAAGCGATGAACAAATTTAAATTCGAGCAATGAGAGTAAACATGTATCGTAAAATTCATTAAAGAAATCTCATTATTTTTAGTAACATCTGAACGGTTTTAGAGTATTATTTTTATATATTAAAATAGAAACTCGATACTTATTATTGGTGTTGTGAATCGGAACATCGTCACCGTAACGGTTATTTTGAGTGCCAGTAAAATCGATACACACACTTAGAAACGCAAAGATAATTTGATTTTTACTATACTTAAGTGTCTAGTGCATCTGAAGAGGTTGCCAATAGATATGATGCAGAACAATTGAAAAAAGCTTATTTTACGACAAGTGCAACATTCTTACCATCGTTTTAATTAATACATTATTCATATACCACACCGTCCACATGTTAAATGTAACGGTACTGTTTTTTCGTGTCAGTTTAGGACTGCCGTTGGCGCTACTACAACGACCACTGGCGCGTTTTTTATTTTATGTTAATTCGTTTGGAGCTTTAATTGTATATCCGCTTTATGACTTCTAATGACTGTTTGTTTCGCTGAAAGTTACCGCCTATGGTATTGTTCTCTGTGTTTATTATATCTAGTCGAATGCACCGCACAGAAATTCGCGTAAAAAATACACTTCTACACACGATCGGCATTACCTACGGAGGATATTATTATTACCACATTTTTTACAACTGCGTCTTTGTCCCTAACGTGTTCTCCTTTAGCCGTTCGTAAGTGTGCATAACTAAAGCAGTTAACAGTCCGGTTACGACTCTGGTACGGGTCGACGGTGTACAGTGTTACATTAATAGGACAGCTATTTTCAGTACATAAATACAAAGCAATCAATGTAATATATTGACTGTATGTGCACGCGGATTTAGAGTAATAATATTACTTTACACTTAAATCAGCATACGCGTTGCGTGTTATATGCCGCCAAGTACATAAAAATTTACTTTTTCAATAAATATCGATGCTAGTAATTATTTTTATTAATTGACCACGCGGTAATATCAGTCGCCGTCAAATCGACGAGGTATACAATTCAATGTACACGGGCAACACGGAAAAATTAATTTTTTTATTTTAGATGCGTTGTTGACCCGTAAAAGTAACATTTACTAGACTACTACTGATCAATTAATATTAAAACAATCGGAATTGGTTCCGATTGAAGAAGTTATACTCAAAAATTGAAAAAAAGTTTTTTAGCTTTTTTATTAGCAGAAATTTTATTAAAAATAACTCTTGGAAATAAAAATAACTTTATTTTAAAATTATAATATAACAGATAATTTTTTATAAAATTGACACAATATCGTGGAAAGATTTAATTATAATTATAACCTAAATATCATTAATAATAAATAATAAACCTGACCAAAATATTTTATAAATGAATTTTTTTTAATGTTTAACTACACTGAAAAACAACATTGTAAAATCATCAAAAATTTGTCGTTGGCATAATATAATTGATTTAACAATGAAAAAATTGACGACAGTATATTTTTCTTCAATTCAGTGTGCAGCAATTGTTAATGGAAGTATAAAAGCACCTATTTCTCTTTAAGAGTAATAGTTCATTTTTTTCTAAAAACTCGACAAACCTGTCTTTTGGTACATTCGCATTAAGTCAGCTGGTAAAGTCGTAAAAACAACTTGATTAAAATATAGTTTATTTAATTTCGTCAAATTATCTAACAAATCAACCGATATTTTACATACATTTCAACTAAAAAAATATCAAGATATAGGTAGAGGGGGTCGGGATAAGTTGATTCGAGATCATAAGTTGAAAAATTTTAGTTTAAAAGAAAAATGAATACTTCGATATAATAAAAAAGTCCAGCACACTGGAACAGCAATGTTAAACATAAAAGTATAAATGATATCTGCTAGTGATTAACATCACTATCATAAAAAAGCTTCAATGTGGATCTGCTAAATTTAATATTTTCTGTATTTGTAATTTAAAAATGTCTATTATTTAAAATTACACTCAAATATTAAATCTTTGTTCAATTATTTGCTTAATTGAGTATAATGTCATTTTTTTGTTTTGACGGCCGATTTCAAATATTAGAACAGTTGTTGAGACTACATTTTTTTAATTTTGTAATATACTTCAAAACCTTTAATTTAATAAGGTAAAAAGACCATTCGGAACATTTTCAAAATTCAAGTTGAAAAAAAATATTACAACTTTGGGTGGTCTTTTTCAAACCCTTTTCTCGTTGAATTTTCAGAAAATTCATACAAAAAAAAAACTTATTGTCTGCTTATTATACTCTATAAAAATTTAATTACATTCGATGTATTATAGAAAAAATATTATGAAAATAAAAAAAAATGACGAATTCTTACAGAAATTTCGCTATTTTGAGTTTTAAGGTCACATAACGAAAAGAAAAAACGTTGTTACGACGTTTTTCTTTATAATGTACTCTTGGAAATTATTAATTTATATTGGTTTAATAAAATTAATTTTCCAAAACTCTTCCAAATCATTATTAATTATTTTTAAATTTACAACTTGATTTCAATTTTAATTATTAATAAAATAATTCTACTATACAGCAACTCTACAGATGATATTTTATGACCAATATCAATCATGAGCAGAGTACGTTTTTTTCGATTAATTTCTGAATGCCTAACAAATTTCGACATTTGATATCGTAAAATAAACATGTAAAATGCAGTTAGAATTGAAACGAAATTTAAAATTTAATTATATAACATTTATTAAAAATGTTGGATACTCAATGTTTACTTAGAATCAACTATACAAAAGTCAATCTAGAATTTTTTTAAAACTTATTTCTTAAATAAATAAGAAAATTTTATTTTTCATATAGTTTATATTATTATTGTAGTCCAAAAGAGTAAAAGATAAAAAAAAAAAAAATTTTAATAATTATTGAATTGTCAAAACATTAATGTCATTTTACACGCTTAATAGTTTATTTGTAATTTATTGTAAATTTATATGGTTTATCCTTTTAGATTACTATATACTACCCAATGACCCTCCGAAAATGATGTGTTGTTTCGATGATGCCGGACAGCACGTCGCCTTATTAATTTTAATTACTTTGAGCACAAAAATGTATTTAGATTATATTTTAGGAGCAATCTGTATATTAAAAATTACATATTTAATACATTTATATCACTCTGTACACTAAGATTTATATAGTTGATTCATTTTAATCACTCTGTATACCAAGATATATATATATATGAATTATTTTGTTGGATCACTGTGTATAGTAAAGTTTATTTGTCTCAATAATTTCAAATACTCTCCGTTTAATGACTTATGTATTTGAATTACTCTGTATACTATAATCGAAAATGTTTATAAATTTGAACGATTCTGTTTGTTCGGTTTATACAATTGGATCGCTCTGTATGTTATCATTTACATTTTCTACCTTTGGAATATCCCAAGAAGTTTATCGTTGTGAACTTCAAAAAACTTGAATCTAATAACAAGTAAAATATGTTACCGTTCTAATAAGTGTTTTTCAATCCTGTTACTTTTGGAATTCTTTTTTGGATGTTCCGATTATATTGTTATTATTACTAAGCTTTCCCTTGTCTTAGTTTTACTATTAAAAGGAAATAATATGTGTCGCTAAATACTTGTACTCTGAGTTTTTTACATCGCAATATTCCTACGGATGCGACACAAAAATAATATCGACCACAAATAAAACTGCTGTCCAGTTGATATTTATATGCGTTGGTGCGTTATCTGCCTCCTAAAAACAACCTCGGAGTTTATGAGCGGAGGGTGACGGCGTGCGCGTTTACTACCGGCGGGTAGTGAGGTGACGGAGAGGTCATCTGTTTGTCCACGAGTACACAGCGCATTATGGATGACCGCCATAAATCATAGTACACACGCAGTGTTCCGTGCGAGTGTGTGTCTTTTTCATTTCTCGGGGGACGGCCTCAATCTCTTTTGTACACCGCACTTGGTCTGATCCTATCTCGTTCTCGCCCGCGCCAACGCGGTGCGGGCTCGTCCCGTCTCTTTCTTTTTTCTCGGTTCGAACTCGGCCGATTAAAAATTGACAAATCCTGAAGACGGCAATAACTCACCGCGCATCGGTCGGCCGATAGAGAAACTCAAATCCTATTAACTCGATATGTGCCACCGCCGATCCATTGGATCCGCGGCAGTAGCACACCACTCGCCCGCGTCTGTCTGCCGCAGTCAACCGTCGGGGTCGTCATAATTTAATTACGTTAAGTGTACACGACGACGGTGACGGAACACGTACACGCCAGTGGGTTTTAAATGTTTTAATACGTACAAACGACCTGACGGGGTGACGCTTAAGCGATGCCGCGTCGGACGGCCAAAAAAAATATTTATAATTCAAAGAAAAACAACAAAAAACCGCGCAATAAACTGTCAAATGCACCGCCAGCGTCACCTCGCGTGCACTGAACGCGCGAGTGTGTGTATTACACTCGACGGAAGGGTTTTGCACTCCATTTACTTTGTCAAAAATGCGCCGCTGCCTCGCCCATAATTTATGCGGATCACAAACAAAACGGTTGTCGGTCTGACGACGCAAAACGACACTGCGATTAATGGATACTTTCAAGACCGTGTAAACATCGTAACGACAATGGGGAGAGTTAAAAAACGAGTAACGCGCTCGTTCCGTTGCAAACGCCCTCGGCGGTAGGTGCGTCGTTTAAAAATTAAATTATCGTCGTTACGAAATCGTTGGGAATTTTCGAACAAATCAGTTTCGCTCCCGGAAACTTTTCCCCGGCTTTCGGCACTCGAAAATAAACGTTATACTATAAATAAAACAAACAAAAAATACCCGTAGCTAAAGACGAGACGAGACTAAAAGGATTTGAGCGGTTCGTTTTTTAAGCCACCGTTGTGTGCACAGCGTCGAAACTTACCGAGCTGCAGAAGACCCTCGGAGATTAAACGGTCTGTCTAATAAGGTCTTGTGACGGAGGCGGTGCATTCTTTAAACGCTGCGGACACCCGAAATCGTCCCTTTGTTGTGCCGGACACCGAGTCGGGCGTTGCGCTTAAAATACGACCTATTGTTCCAACCGTAAAAACACGTAATAATGTTATTAGTCGTACGGGACATTGCACCGGTATAGATAACGTGTAATTTTTTCACCCCTTTTATCCATTTTGTTTTTAGTCGGTCACGGCGGTGGGCGGGTACTGTCTATACGCTCGTCGCCTGTCTCTGTAATTATCTACAGCGTTTTGCGCGGCAATAAAATGTCAATTTCGTGTACACGTATGTGTAAGTGCGTCTTGTACAGAAATCTTCGTTTCCATCCAGCGCATTCCTCAAAATTGGCTTTAACTGTTCGCCACCGTCGCTGCACACCTCGTCGAGACGGCCTGGAAAAGGAACGTGACGCGTCGTTTAACGGCTCTCTTTGTTTTCGATGCGACACACAAGCGCCGCCGCGCGATTCGGAAAAGTCGTCGCTCAGCCAGACACAATTGCATTGCTTTGGTCGTGTGGCCATCACGATGAGACCATTCGGCGGCGGTACGTTACAGTACACAAACATCCAGTGGCGTCTGTGCCTATTGATCGCTAAGCAATGGTCGCGAACATGTCGCCCTTTGACCCTCAGTGCCATAACTTGCAAAATATATGAAATGTACGGCCCCGTAAAAATATTTATGAAGAATTTCTGCTTCAGTCGTGGAAATTACGAATATTTTGCCCCATCTAGTGTTGAATGGTCGAGTTACAAATACAAAACACTCAAATAAAATTACTGAATGCAATCACTTTGCGCAAAAATTCGAAATGTGATAACATCACGTGTCCAATAAACGACGTTTGGATGTATATTACATTAGTGAAGTCGGCCACGCGCTGCGGTTTGTTTTGAATCAACACTAAAATGTCATTTACTTGAATGTGCTTTGATAAGACTGCGTTTGTTTGCGTCGAGTCGGTCGTTTAGCAGATTATTTATTTTGTCACGTTAATTTTCGATAACGTTGTACGTATACGTTCTCTTTTAGAATTTCATTATCCTCAGTGGCATATTTTGGGGGGTGGCCTCCATGTCTGGACACCACCCGACTTAAATAAAATGCCTAATATATTGATATTAACTTTTTTTATAATATACTATATTTATTTACTATAAAATAAATGGTATTTTAAATAAATAACAAAATTAAAGATAATTTGATAGGATTCGACGACACGTATTTATCTACATTTTATCAGAGATTTCTCGAAATTATTTATAAATTATTATTTCATTGGGTAACAAAAATACCCGTAGCAAAAATGACAAAACAACGGAAATATTCTGAACTTGTGTTTCATTTTTAAATTTATTTTATAGTTTATCAGTTTAGAGAATTATAAACAAATAAGTTTAGTTACCCCTATTCAATATACCGCATTCATAAAAAATACAGAAATGAATTTTTTATAATTAAAATAGTATTTAAAAAATAAACAAAAGTTATGAAATTCTTTATGAATCGTCATTTAGTAAAATTAAAATTAAGTTGTTAAGATAGTAGATACGCTTGTTAATTTAAAAATTTATAATTGGCTGACTTTTTAACTTAATTGTATCCATAACTGTATATTATAATATTTGTATATTCACATAACAAGAACATTAAATTATTTCAGTTAAGATAAATTTATATTAAATTTGAATTTCTTAAATGAAATGTTACAAAGAAAAATAAGATTAAAATAAAATAACAAAACAACAATTAAACATAGAAAAAGTATAAAAATGTTTGGTGGTATACAAATAAAAATTTCAATTTATAGTGAATATTAAGAAAATTGATATAAAATACAAAAATAAAATTTCATTCATAAAAATATTAATAGAATAGCTCGCCAGCAATAATTTCATTTTTGTGTCTTAATCTTATAAAAGGCATAAAATTTGCATTTATTGGTGTTGTATCTCCTCGAGACATTTTTTCTGCCAGCTCAACAGTAAATGGCCCACAATCATGTCCATTGGTTTGGCGAGATGTCTCGCCTATTTGTAATGTCCATGTAGAAGCTTTTCCTTTTTTGTCCATCTCCCATTCAATTAAGAAATTTTTTAATACCATTGGATAAGGACCCTTATACGACTTAAGACTATCATATGATGTCACAGTCTTTTCAGGTATATTAACCACTGTCAATATCCAATGACTCCCATATACATTCATGGGCACAAAAAGTAATTTTATTGTGTGAATATCTTTTTTTATCCATCTTCTTACAGCTGGATAACCTCCTCGAAGATACGCTACAATAAAATCAGTGACAACTGCATAAACTTCACCTTCTGACCGTTTTACTATCATTTTAATGTACTCATTAATTGTGTCTGAAGTATACCATGATGTGGGCGATTTAAATGAAGGTGCATTATACTGATCAAGAGATTTTGTGTTCTGATCTTGCATTACTTCTGCAAGTGTAACCATATTTAAACATTTTTCATAAAATTAATAAAAGACTTTGTTGAACAGTTTACTATTATTTAGGTTTATTTAAGGTTTTGGAATATGAAATTAAACACGTATAATTACTTTTGTTTAAAACGTCCATGGACCCCCTTAATGACACGCCTCTGCAGAAGTTATATTAATTTAACTCGTATTATTATAATTAATTATGTTTAATAAATAATCTTTTTTTATTTAATTTTACATAAAATAAATAGATTGAATAACTAATTACCTTTTTCTTTCTCTGGTACTTTTATTACTTCAATAGTGGACAGAGCAAGTAAATTTACGTCATTCGGCGTATTTAAGGTCAAAGGATTAGAACTAACTTTTGGCTCTAAAATAATTTATGTTTAAAAATATTACATAATTGTTTCAAAAATCAAAACATCATATTTTTTAAAAATGAATTATATTTTAAAAGTTGTATACTTTTTATGACTTTTTCATCTTCTTCGGATGAATTTCTTTTTAAATTTGGTCGAGCAGTAGTATTAGAAGATATCTCAAAAAGTTGTTTTTTTATTTCGGATTTTTTGCGTTCCAAATTTTTCTTATGAAAACTCTTAATGGATCATAAAAATATATTTAATTATATGATAAATTTATTTAAGAAATCTGCTTTAAGTCCAAAAAATGGTTTTGGGTATACCCTAAAATGTTTTTATTGAAATAAAGCATAATAAAATATACCTTTTCTAACAAATCAGCTGATATTAATAGCGGATTGTCTTTTGAAATTGCTATATTTTTTTTTTCTGTTGAATTTAAAATTTCATTTTTATATTTTTCAGATTTTTCATTCTGAAAAAGTGTTCCGAATTCTCTTTGCTGCATCATATTCTAGGTAACCAAAGAGATATTTAAATAAACAAATAAACTATACTTAATATTATATTATTATCTTCGATAAAAATTGAATTTCCCATAAAAATCTAATAGAAAAAATAGCAGAATAATATTAAACATTATGTTACCGCATTTATATTAAGGGGGTTGAGAGTTATATTATATTTTTGAATCAGACAAACCCCAATAACATAGCTAAATCGAATAAATATATTAATATAATTATAGTTACCAAATTTTCTGGAATAATTTTATCATTTTTATTCGTTTTTCGATACGTGCGTTTTTTTGGAATAATAGAATTTTTTATTGGATAAATATTTTTATTAATAATTGCTGCAAATTGAATATAATTTTAATAATTATTAATTAAATAATCAATTTCGAAAAAGGTTTTTAATATTAAAATAGTTAAATTAAAGTAAAGCGACTGAATTATTGTTATATATGAATAAGAGAACTTATTATTAATTTTTCTTATATTTTATATTAAAAAACTTTTTCTCTATTCGAAATAGTTAGTTTAATTATTAATCTTAATAGTGTTTACAGATAATTCTTCCATCTTTAGTTGACTTTTTTGATATTTGTCCTTTATTTGTATTATTTAAAACACAATTGGAATGCATGAAACGACGATTCCATATTTCTTCAACTCTGCGTATGACCTTATGTAAGTTTGATTCATTTGTTTGACCAAAAATATTTTTTTCACTTGCCATATCAATAACTAATTAAATAAATCTTAATAATTACACAAGACGATAGTTTATTTTTCACGGGAAAAAACGAAGTGANTATTAAAAAAATCTTAATAATTACACAAGACGATAGTTTATTTTTCACGGGAAAAAACGAAGTGAACTGAAATGTTGATAAAATCAACATTTACATCTAATTGTCAAGGAAACTTAATTGTAAAAATTCATTAAAAAAATGTATAAGCCAATTATAAATAAAATTAGTATAAACAATACTTATTTATTTTAATTATATTATTGGTCAAAGAATACAATATTTTAAGAATAATACAGAGAATAATAAAAAAAAAATATATATATATATTTTAAAGATATTTTGAAGAAAAACCTTTTGTATTTGTTTGTTTATTTATTACATTAGTTTACAAATGATAGAGATTTTTTTATGAAAGTTCAAGTGGAATAAATTTGATATCGGTTAACAGAATATTTATGCATATAAAATTTAATCTGTATGAAATAAAATATCAACGTTTGGATTTATTCTCTTGCAACTATTAAAAATTTTGCCCATGTGAAATTGCTATTTCCATTTAGTTATTAACAAAAAACATCATGCCATGCGATTATAATCAACATAAAAAATTATTAAGTTTAATATATAATATAGTTTAAAAATTTAATTAATGGCATAATAATTCTGATAAAAGAAAATAACAGGAGATTTGAATTAATTTTAACCACTTTAACAAATCGAAAATAACTTTAGGGTTTAACTACCTTATAGGTTTAATTATTATTTGCATTTTTAATGTTATTATTATTATTATTTTTTTTTTTTTGACAATAACGGCTATCTTTGTAACTTCAATATATATCAAGAAAATGACAAATTATCCAAGAAAATCAAGGAAATTTTAGAGAAATATTAAGATACAGAGCCCAAGGAGATGACCGTTTAAAATCATTTTTGGAAGCTGAAGAAACAATAAAATATACAAGTGAAACACTTCAAAATGAAATAATTGAATCCTGTAATAAAATTATTTTAAATAAAATCGTAGCAAATATAAATTCCCAAAGATGTTTCAAAATACTTGTTGATGAAACGGCCGACATTGGTGGAAGCAAACAAGTAACTTTGTGTGTTCGATATTTAGATGTTGAAAATATGATTATCAAGAAAGAATTCTTCAGTTTGCGCCTACAACAGATACTACTGGAAAAGGTTTATATATTGTTATTCAAAGTTTACATTCATTTGGTGTAGAAACAAAATACCTTAGAGGACAGTGTTACGATGGATGTGCTTCTATGTCTGGTCAATTTAACGGAGCTCAATCTCTTATTCACCAAAGTTATCCGCTTGCGACGTTTGTTCATTGTGCTGTTCATGTTTTAAACCTTGCTATTTCTTATTCATCTTCTATACAAGAAACACGAAATTGATTAGGAACAACATCTAAAGTTAGAGATTTTTTCATATACCCAAAGCGAAAAGATGTGTTGAAAAGTCAAATCGAAGAAAGTCAAAAATGTATAACTAAAAAATCATTAAAACAATTATGTGCGACTAAATGAGTTGAACGTTTTTATGCTGTCAATGATTTTCTTGAGCTTTTTGTGTACCTAATTGAATCGTTATTTATAATTTCGAAGTGGAATGACACTGAAACATCATCAAAAGCAAGTAATTTACGAACATCAATACTGAAAGGAGATTTTATTATTTGTTTACTTATTATAAATAAAGTATTTAGTTATGAGTTACTTTGTTTAAAACAACTTCAAAGAAATTAGCAGGTACACAGCATTGTTATTATCAATGGTAGTAAGGCACATTGTTGTGAGTTTATAAATACACTAACTGTCAATACAGAAAGTATATCTATGATAGTCATAATTGATAATAAACAATCCGTGACTGCGACATTGATATCATATAAACCATTTAGCTACCTGTATTTGTAATCATATCATCATGTGTATTATACATGTATATTAACTCAAAAATTTGAAACTTTAAATGTTTATATCTAATAAACTAATAAAGTTATATTAAAAATTCAAATGCCATTTACTATTTAATTAAAAATCCAAACATTTTATTATCTTCAAAATAAGTGTTCCCATTTAAAAGAAAAAAAGACAAAGTTGACACCCTTACAAGGCATAAGGGATGAACGTAAAAAGTTTTAAATAGTTTAAGAATAATGTGTAACTAAAGAAAACCAAAAGTAATGTTTAAATTATATTTATTCTACGAGTAAATGAGTGGGTTATGATAAAAAAATCAGTCTGTATACTGTAATATAGTTTATCATTTGTAAAGCTGGAAGTAAAACATTTTTGTAATGTTTTGTTTAATTGTAATTTCCTGATCTATTATTACTAGACCAGGAATTAAATATTTATAAACATTTTTGAAAACGATAGTATTATTAATTTTGCAAAAAGAAGAAAAACAAAATATTTTAGTATATAAGACGAAATGGAATGAATCGTAGAGGAGAGAGGACCTCAGGAGCACCGAAGGTAATCTCTTTTCGCGCGGTACGTTTATGACATTAAGTTTTCATTTTGTGTATTGTTTTATTGTGTTTTTAGTGTATATTTATTTTGTATGTTTTGCATTGTTTAATTATATCTATAATAAATACATTTGAGTTATTATTAAACTTTTATTACTTTAAGTTAAGACACTAGGGTTGTTTCTTTTAAGATACAACAGTACCAAAATTTCAAATTATTTGTCAATTCCTAAAATAGTAATTAGAAAAATAGTAAGTTTTTTTTACGTCAGTAAACATTTCTATAATTTTCGTTTGTGAGGTTCATTAAAAGTTGGACACCACCCGAGAAATCATTCAAAATACGCCACTGATTATCCTGTTATTGATATGAAATATTCTCAGTATATGAAATAGATAATTTATTTCAATAAAACAAAATTACTTAATTTAATTAAATATTTTAGGGAGGACTTTTTATCAAGTCATGTATTATAATTCAAAAAACGAATTATCATTTTCAATAATTACTATAAAATAGATTTAAATACGTTTATTTCTAATAAAAATCGTTTTTTCCAATGTCAGAGCAAAATGCTCTCACGTCAACAATGGTGTTGAAAAATGATTCTGCAAATTAATCATAGCGACTAAGATGTTTTTCTCGGACATTAACCAGCATCTAGACTTGATATTACAGGAGATTCAAATAGACAATAATTGAGCTGTACACTTGTTTTCAAATTAGCCGTCCTCTTGTGTGCACGTTTATGTATTCAACTACCCCAAACCTCAGTTACAACCACAACTGCTCTTTAAATAAATGAAATGCTTCATTCCTTCTCTTCGTGTTAGTTTAATGTGTAGGTGCACGAGGGTTGGGCTTACAAAAAAATCACAGTGAGAAATTCGTGGGTTACTTCTAAAATAAAATGTTCCTAACTCGTTGTATAATTGTAAAGCGTGTGTTTTGACTCGTGACCTCTTACGCCATAAAAAAAACATAATGACAACGTTTGTAACTATTAATGAAATTACTCCGATATTTCGACCCTATGTGGTTTTTATTTTTACCTAATCCGATTAAGGGTAAATCGCATGTTCTCTTGTACATATAAGTTTCAATGTTTTTTTAAGTGTAGGGCAACACACGAAGTGCGTGTGTGTGTACAACCGTCAAATGTCTGCATACATGACGTTTGATTGCAATAATTTCTTTGGAAAATAATTCGTGTTGTTATTGATGGCATTTTTTTTACAATAACAACTATTATTTCTACCGTATTGATAATTATATTATTGGAAAACATTATTTTTTTTTCTTCAAATTACGTCTATTGGAGAATGCCGTTTACACTATAAAAAAACAGTTTACAAATCTCTCTAACAATCGTATTTTTAACTAGCCCATAGAATTCACTATTTAACACAACAGAAATGTTTTCAATTAGAAGATGGTTTCGGTGTTAATTAATTTACACTCTGACTACATATGTACGTCTAAAAACATAGAAATTAAATTGCCGATGGAAATTCGAATTGAAATCACTTAAAAGTTGGCTAGAAATTGTTCGGGTTTAATTACAAAAATGATAATTAATGCGTCAATAATCCGTTGGACATGCCAAGCGTCATGGGGAATCGCGTACGAACGGATTGGACAAGTGTTTGATATCAAATGAAAACATGCGTCTCGTAATTTTAAATAGCCAAAGGTGATTGGTATGCGTTTTAAATTTTTTAGAAACGAGTGGGTAACGTGGTGGTCGTTTGATCTGACCGATCTCCGTTCGGCATGTCCCCCGCACTCGGCGCAACGTTGCTGATTGATGTGCACACCAACCCGCCGGCCAAGTCACCGGAGTAATAACATTCCCGTGTGTTCGCTGAGATGGCGGCGCTTCGGTAGCGTCGTCTCCCAAGTTGTACACACACGGCAGGCAATGCCGCGCAATTGTGCGCGCGCGTCTGTTGTTGCGGCCGGTTGTTTATACTCTGCGATACAGGGCCACTGACCGGTGTCGCCAAACGACGCCGGCTCGTTGCTGGCAGCGTGTACAATATGTCAGGCGACCGACGGCCAATATTGATTTCCGACCCGACAACCGTTTACCCGCCAGCGTGTACATTTGTACCGTGTCGGTCATGTTACTCCGGCGGCCGTGGTTAATGAGCTCTCGTTTGTAATATTCACCAGTGCCGTCTTCACCGGTCTCGGAGTCGTCTAGCACACCGCAGTGTTGGCCAAGTTATTAGAAATGGACAGTATAAATCTTTTGTGTACGACGCGCGTGATCGGAATACGAATTCGAGAATTTTTCGGCGCTCCGGTCCACTCGATCACATTTTGGCTCCCCGTCCGAATGTTCGCGACAGTCTATTCCACTACAGTTTTACTATACATAACACAATGTGCTACGCATTTTACGCATTTTGTGCAATTCTGTATTTTTATAGCGCTTTTTATTATTGGTACCTCTCATTTAATTATATATGTCAATGCGTGTACATATAAGTTTTATGTTTGAAAACCAATTTGTGTATTCAATAGAATTTTAAACATTTAGTTGATTAATAAAAGTCCTTAAATGAAAACAAAGTACATATATTATCACATATCTTAATACTCTTGAACAATGGCGATGTAAGATTTAATATTCAATCTTAATGTCATTTACCACGGCATATTATTAAAGGAAAATTGCTCAGGGAATTAAAGGTTTTTTTTTTATAGAAAAATAACTATAGTGGGTATCGATTAAAATGGTTAAGTAGATTTTAGGAGTAAAAAGGTATATTCAATCAACTTCCGAAGAAAATAATATTTAATTATTTTGAAAGATACAAAATATTAAGTATAATTATAATGAATTAAATAACTGAAAATTCAAAATTTTAAAATTGTTTTCTGCGATAAAATGGATTCATTTATATATATTAATAGAGCATATTGAAAAAATATTAGTAGAATACACATTATTTAAAATACATAATGAAAAATAATCTAATTATTTTTAAATTATTTTTCATTATTGATCACTCAAGCAATCTGTATTGCTGGTTAGTGTTTTTATTAACTTACAACAATGTGCCTTACTGCCATTGATAATTATTACCTGCGAATATCGACGTCATTTCAAATTCCTTATACATATATATATCAACACAATAATTTGAAATTTGAAATGATTATATATAATAAACTAATAAAGTTATATTAATTCAAATGCCATTTACTATTACATTAAAACTCAAAAATCCATTAAAAATATGTTTTCTCCTTTAAAAAAAAAGTTGATACCCTTCCAAGACATGAGGAATGACCTTATTAAGTATTACATGGTTAATAATTCAAAAGTAATTTGTTAGTAAAAAAAAAAAACAATGATTATAATAATAGTATTTTTTCTTATAAAAAAAAAATTAGATTTTGAGATTGGTCACTTATATTAATTAAACAAAAAAATCATAAAACTAAAAATAATTTCTATAGTTACGTCAACAAACAGATAGTTAGATTAAAATATATAATTCAGTTTGCTCTCGAAATTCTACGATTAAGTTATTTTACGTTAATATACAGTAAAATTTTACATTTAAATAATTTGATACGATTACTTAAGTATATTAATATAAATAATATTTTGTTAAAATGCTTCGAAGTAACTTGCAAATCTTGATCAATAATTCGATAAAAGTTATTCAGTGGTCTATGGATATTGGTTACATAATACTACTCATAATTTGGATGTTGTACAAGTTATATGAATCGATCGTTTTAGATTTTTATCGAAACTTTTTAAAAGAAAACCCTAATTATGAATCAGTCAAAACTAATAATGAACTTGAATTTACAACAGCAAATATGATAAATACTGGACTTGGGTTTACAAATAGAATTTTGCTACCCAACGACAACAAAATTATTGTTGAAAACTCAACTGTAACACACAAAGTGGAGCCGTTAGAGAATATTCAATTTAATGCGGCTGCAGCTTACTTTGATAAAGAGATTAAAATTAAAGATGCTATTGAAGTATTCAATCTTCAGATAGATATAAAAAATCCTTCAAATTTAGTAGCTGATAATGAAGTTGATAGCAAGGCAGTTGAAACAAAATCTGCTTTAGATAATGATATGAAATCTCCTATTAAAACGGATGTTGTATTGACACTTGCTAGAGACGTGAGTAAATTTGACGTGTTCTCTGAACAAATTGCACCTAAAGGCACTAAAGTGTCTAGAAAACGTATTGATAAGCAGAAAAATGCAGTGTTGAATAAAAAATCTTCTCCCATAAATAAAGCCAACTATTTGTATGTTGGAGGTTTAAAATCCACTACAACAAATGAACAGATCACTGAAAAATTCTTTAAATTTGGTAATATATTGAATGTTGAAATTTTCGATAGCGCTTATCGTTATGGAAAAGAAAGTACACTGAAATGTGGTTTCGTGTGTTTTGAGCACAGTTTTCAGTAGATAAACTACTCTGTTATAAAGGTCTTACACATATGTTGAGTAATGACAATAAGGTATACCTGGACAGACATATAGAAAAATATGAACCTTATCCGAATTGTAA